TTACACAATGTGAGAAGGCCTCTTTGCCAAGCAGACCAAAAAAAACTCAAGCCCATACTGCAGTGTATAGTTTGCTTCATGTTGTGTAGTTCAGGGTCGTAGCCATTTCTTTCTGTTTAATTGATGAAATTTATTTCTCTGTTTTTCATTCTTTGCTGCTTTCATTGGATTTCTAGAGAATGCCTTTGTGCCTTTAACCAGAAGCCCTCTTTTCTTATTTTTGATTTCAACAATACTAAGAGCACTCGATAGTTTATTAGTAAGGCTTTCAAGCCTTAGTCAACATTCCACAACCTACAGTGAGGTCTAGAAGGAGATGGGGGTAAAAGAGCAGAGTTATTTTCATTTTATAGATTGGAAACCTGAGCCCCTGAAAGTGTTAAGAGACTTGCCAAATACAGCCAAATCAAGTGGCTGAGAGAGAACCAAATCTAAATCTAGAGATCCTGGCTCATCAAGAGGAGTCCTTGACTCTATAACAATTGGCTGCTCTTGAGCTTTCCTCCTAAAGATCATATTTCCAAACCATGACATTAACGCAGAAAGCTTTAAGAGATTTTTTTTTAAGCAGGTAAAAAGATTCATCTGCTTTGAAAGAGATTCCATCCATGGATGGATGGATGGATGGATGAACGGATGGACGGACGGATAGACAGACGGACGGATGGATGGATGGATGGATGGATGAATGGAAGGACGGACGGACGGACGGATGGACAGATGGATGGATGGATGGATGGATGAACGGACGGATGGATGGATGGATGGGTGGGTGGATGGGTGGATGGGTAGATAAGTGGATGGATGAGTGGATAGATGAGTGGGTGATGGGTGGGTGGGTGGATGGATGGATAGATAGATGGATGGGTAGATGGATGGATAGGTGGGTAGATAGGTAGATGAATAGATGGGTGAATGGGTAAATGAATGGATGGATGGGGGACAGGTGAATGGGTGCAAAGGTAGGTGAATGGGTGGATGGGTGAATGGATGGGTGAATAGGTGGATGGATGGGTGCATGGGTGGATGGATGGGTAGATATATGGATGGATGAATGGATGGGTGGATAGGTAGATGGATGGGTGAATGGGTGGATGGATAAGGAGACACATGGATGGGTGGATGGGTAGGTAGATGGATGGATGGATAAATGGGCGGATAGGTGGATGAATGGGTGAATGGGTAGATGGATGCGGAGATATATGGATGGTGGATGGGTAGATGGATGGATGGATAGACGGATGAATGGCTGGATGGATGAATGGATGGATGGATGGGTGGATAGGTGGATGGATGGGTGAATGGGTGGATAGATGGGTAGACATATGGATGAGTCGATGGAAGGATGGGTGGATGGGTGGATGAATGGATGGGTGGATGATGGATGGGTGGGTGGATATATGTGGGTCAAGATGGCCAGGAGCAGACCTATGTTATTTCTAGTTAAATAATTACAAGCTTGCTTTGCTTTTTATATACTGAGATTCATTCCACGGATCAAATATTGAGTTAAGAAAACTCCAAACAATGGTGCAGTAAAATAAAAATTGTTTAAGGACTGTAAAAACAGAAATCAAGTGGTAACAGGAAGCCCCTAGTGAAGACCATCTGAGAGCACTTCAAAGCCGTGGAACGCAACGGTGTGGTTGCAAGGCAGGAAAGATTGCTTTGGTCCCATGATCTCTTCCCAACATAGAGTCTGCATGAGAGTCTTATAAAGAGGGCTTGTGCAAGAACTCTGGGAAGGAATGCAACCTCTGCTCACAAGACTTGGGAGGGTCTTTGCAGATGGGAGCTTGCAAGGCAGGAAGGCCTTGAAGGGCAGAGATAACTAGAATGCCACAGGCTCTGCCTAGGTTCTCAGAATATGGAGTAACTCTGATTGCTCTGTGTCAGCAATGCTTGGGAGATAAAAGCCCCTTGATGCATTGTGTGTGGTCAGACTTGGTGGATCTGCTGTGCTTCTATGCAGATGCACCTTGATAACCATGGGTGGTAAAACTCAGTGTCCTAAGTTAGCATTTCTTAGAAGAACCACATATGCAATAGAATGCTGCAGACACACGCTCTCCCCCACCCCCCATCTTACCCTGCAATAGCTTTTAGTTTACCTTTCTCACCTCCCCTCACCACAGCCCCCAAGATCAATGAGATAATGCACCTAATAAAAGTGTGTGGAGCCCAGAGCTCAGGGCCAACGCTGTCCCTGGGAGCTTGCATTGGTCCCCTGGACCCACATTGTGAAACTATACTCTTATCTTTGTGTTTATTTCTTTTCTCACTCCCTATCACCACCGGGACTAAGGGCATCCACAAAAAGGGTTGGGGCTGGCACCCAACAGGTGTATGGATGGATGGGTGGGCAGATGGGTGAATGAGTATGTGGATGGATGGGTGAATGGATGGGTGAATGGGTGGATGGATGAGTGTGTGGGCGGATGTATGGGTAGATATATCAATGAGTAGACGGGTAGTTGGGTGGATGGGTGGGTGGATGGATGGAGCATACACACATTTTTGTCAGTGGCAGCTGCATTACTTTCAATCTATATAGCAATACAAAGCAAGTGATGGTGAAGCTTTGCTGAGGAGCAAGTCTGCTAGACCTTAAATGAATCCCTAAATGGACATATGGAGACCATCATAACTGGCACAAGGTTTGAGGACAACAGTTTCATAAGTGCTTGAGAGTGTGTTCTCTTTTGTAAAGTTAAATGGTCCCCTAAAACATTGTTCTCAATGATACTTTGCTTAGCAAATCCTTTCTCCATCATAACCAGCATAAAGTTGAACTCCAGTCCATCCCATCTCTGAATTATCCATATTTTAAATTAGGGTATACAATTACTGCAGTTTCATGTAAATAAAATCTCCTTCCTCTCCCAGCCAGATAAACACACACCACACAGGTGGCCCCTCTCACACTAGAGAAGCCTGCAAGGTCCCCACACTGGGAGTGTGCCCTCACTTCATTGTCCACTTTCTATGGTCTACTTACACAATCCTTCTCAACCATCCCTGCTCCTGCCAGCCCAGCTCACTGACAAGAATCTTAATTTTCCACTTTATGGTCTAAAGATGAAAAAATGCTAATTGAGGGTAGGGCTCTAGCATCAAAACTGGGAATACTCCACTGCATAGCAAAGATCATTTCTTGGAATTAGTCACTTAAATGTTTACAAGAAACAATTATCAAGTGTCCCAGACTCTTTCATAAATGTCATTAATGAAATAATTGCTAAGAGTTTCCATTTTCTGGTTTGTTTTAATCCCACTATATAAACTTTTTTTTGGCACTACTCCAACAAAATTCCACCCAATGATTAAAGGTGGTAAAGATTCATAAAGCAAAAATGTTACTGAAAGTTAGCCTTGCCAGGGTACATTGCAAACCCAGCGTAGACACAACCCTTATATGATGCAAAAGCCGTCCTAACAAAACACAAAGAAAACAATTAGTGCCGCTGCCAGTGCTTCATAATTTTGGACAGTCAGGAAGACGTGCTAATTGATTTGTCTTTTGCTGTTTGTGGGATAAAATATGTAACTGAAAATGCCCCTGCTGTCCCAGAATGAGGAAGACATAATGAACTCTGGCTTGCCAGATTATTCTGCCACATCTGAAGGTTTGCAAATAAACAAATTAAATAGCTCTTGTCTGGTTTTTCTAGTCAACTTTCATTACTGTAAGGATGGATGCAGCAAGATAAATGTCTCCTTTTTACTTCAGTGCTGAAAGAAATACAAGTTTTCCTGCTGCCTTTTATGTTTAAACTCTGAGATCCACAGCCTATTCTTATTCACCAACTGGAAACGATTTGTCTGCAATGGCCAGTTTGATGTTTTCTGCTCAACTCCCAAAGTCCCAACTTGAAATCATTCTCTTCCACTTAAGGAGACATCTCATTTTTCCTTTAATTTAAAAAAATGTTCTGAATGCAAAACGACATTACAAGGACTACTAGGTTGCTTAATATAAATTCTCTGTGTGTGACACTGTTCAGACTGCGTCCGCAGACAGGGTCAGTGCAGCTAAACTAACGAGCTGCCAAGCAGCCACTTGGGGAAAAAGTTTTAAGGATGCTACATGTGTCCAAGCCAACGTCAGACCCAAATCTAACGTTAAGTGTAAGAAGTACTTGGTCTTAAAATGGCCCATGGAATTTAATCTTGTTAAGCAAATCTGAACTGGGCAGTTATCCATGATGACCCAATGGAAAGTCCTAGAAAAAATAACTTAAACTGAGTGACCCTGTCCAGTTCAAGATGTTCTGCCTCTCTTAGCATCACAACTGGCTGGGACCGGAAAACAGAGCCTATTCTCTCCACTCTTTCCCCCATTCTAGCCATCAATCATTCAGGGTTTCTTCAGTAAAACACTGGGATAAGAATTCACAGTCCATACAGCAAGCATTTCTCCATAAATCCTAAATATGGTAGGAAGACTGATTCTCAAGGAAGCCCTAACTAGGAACATGGTATGAAATAAAGTAATTCCCAATCATTCATTTATGAAGGGCTAATGGAGGGATATCGCAGATAACTGAAATCTATAGGACTCTTCTGTTTTAATCATTAGTTTGCAAAATAAACATTTAATCCAAGCTCTACTAAAGAATAAAATAAGTGTCCACTCTTGTGGAGTTAAAGACAGTGAACTAACCCAAAGGAAAATAATAGGAGATTCCAGGCCATGCAAGAATCCCAAATAATACACCAATGGAATGATCAGTCATCACTCAGCTAAATCTTATTCTACAGTCCTACAGAAGTAGCAATTTGACAGTCATGAATGAGTTTTCCTGGATATTACACAAGGAATGATGTAAAATCAACTCCATTCAGCCATGAGAAGTAGTCTCTCCTATGCATGTATCCTTAACTTAAAATTTGTTTATATAAAAGAGAAAAAGCAAACCAATCATCTATATAAGACAGAGAAGAAACTGGTAAATGATATTGTCATCCTGACCAGAAAATTAAATAAAAAGAATACTGACCCTCCACTCTTGAGATGAGATGGTAAGGATGTTGTTCCTTTGAACATTTCTTGCTTCTTTATTTCATTGCAGCCTCCATCATAAGTTAGCTGAAGTGGGTGACTCTTTAAGTGGCAAATAGTATTTGATTTTGTTAAATAAATCCCATTTATTTTCACCATAGAGTCTGCTATCATAACTGTTTCTTTGGATTCCACTGTCTTCTTTGCTGCAATATAACCAAGAAAATGTTTTGTTAAAGTATTTTAGGAATCACTATCTTTCAATGTTATTTTTCAATCCAAGAATTATTACGATTTCAAAGTTATCCATTGCTTATATAAGTCTGGAATTTTATGGCCAAAGCCTTCCTGAGCATACACAAGACCAGTATCTTAAGCCTGGCACCATCAGTTTTGCAGGTAAAAATGTACAGAATCTTATCTCTACCAGCTTAGAGTCTACTTGAAGGCAGATGCTCAACTTCAGGCTTATAAACTACCTACTCCACTTAAGTATTTCCCGGTCCCATAACAGCAGCTTTTCTTCCTGAATTTGATCACGTTAGTAATTTTTCATTAAAAAAAATATTTACTGAGTGGCTCCCCCATGTCAAACACTGTGTTAGGCACTTGGTGTACATCAATACAGATTCCTGATCTCACAGAGCTTACATCCTAACAAACAGACAATAAGCAATCACCATAATAAATAAGGTATATGACATATTACAAAATAGTAAGTGATGTGGAAAAAAGCAAAGTATAGAAGTGGGGAAGGGTCAAGGGGATTGGGAATATGGTGGGTACAGTAGGGCGGGGCGGCAAATCCTTTATGGGGTAAGGCATCCAGCCACCAGGTGACCAGGGTGAGTGTTTTGAGCAGAGAGACCAGTTGGTGTGGTGGCCCTAAGGTAGGCTGAAGTGGGGGACTCTTTAGCACCACTGTGCATGGGGTGCTCAAGGAATGGCAGGAATGCAGCATGTGAGGGGGTGAAGAGGAGGAGAGGTGATTAGAGGGGTAAGGGGTGGATTGTATAGGCCTAGCCTAGTAGACCACTACTCTGCAACGGAAAGGAGAGGGCACTGGAACACACCTCTAGAGAGGTATAAGATAGAGTTGCAAGAAGACATCCTGTCTTTTTGTTTAGGACTGCAGATTCTTAGACATGTAATAATATATGACTTTCCTTATCAGCAAATTGATATTAGGAATATTTATTGTCTATGCTGCTACTAAACTGTAGTCTGTGATAAAACGTTTTGTTAAAGGGGAAGAGAGTAAATCTCCCACAGCACACTGTGAGGTGGTGGGGATGAGCTTCATACAGAAAAATACTTATTGTTTTGCAAGATTTTTCAAAATGACTCGAGGTTTCCTTTCCTTTTCTGTACTTATCTAAGAAACCAAGAAACCAATAAAAACTAGTCATAACAAAACCACCTATTCTTCTCCTCTGACCAAACTCCCTGCTTTCAAAACACTAAATTTTGAAACTGAAAGGAACCTTAGAAATTCTAGGCTTCTTTTTTTAAGATGAGAAAACTGAGAACCCAAAGGTAAAGTGACTTGTCTAAGGTCACAGGGAGAGCCAGGACCATAGGGTGGGAAGAGCACGGGCTTTGGCTCAGACTTGGGTTTGAGGGCAGGTCCCCCAAGCACCTGCTCTGTGATGTGGACATCACTCAATTTATGCCACCTTCAGTGGTCCCCACCTCTTGGGGATGTGGTGAGATTTAAAATGATGTGGCCTAGGAAAGTGACTTATATGGCGCTAGCACACTCAAAACCTAGAAGTTACTGTCATTATGATTAATGGAACCCAAGAATCCTAACTTCTGGGCCAAGGCGCCCTCCACATCACCACATCACCTTAAATGACTTCACTAGTGAATTACAAAGCACATATTCTGTTTCGGATTACAAAGTATTTTTAGCCTATTGTTTAACTTTTAGCATTCATTTCTCTCATTCATTCACTCCCTGAATACTTATTAAGCACCCACCACCATGTGCCAGGTGCTATTCACTACACGGGTGAAGTCATAGTGAACAAGTCCTGGCCATCACGGAGCGTCTAGAAGGGAAACCCAACCATACCTATAGGTGGAGGAGCTACACCTGTCTATCTTCAAATCTACTGAAGTAAGCTTGTCAGTTATTACTACAAGTGTCCCGGGGCGCTCACTCTCGTTCCTGATGGATGCCCCCATGAAACTGAGCATGTATAACTATGGTCTGCATCTTCCTGGCAGATAGTTGCAGCGCATTGTGTGACTTTTGTAATGGATCATGGGTAAATTTCAAAAGGAGACAGCTCCCAGGTGGACGAGTTCAGATTCACAAATATTTATTTGATACCTGTTATATACCACACCCTGTTATCAGGTCTCGGGCAACAAATAGAGAAAAAGGCTTTTCTTACCGACGTTGCTCTATCTAGCAGGGGGGAAAAAAGGGACAGATGTGCAAAGAGATAAACGCAGCCCAGTGTGGTCCCAGCTGGGTAAGGAGCGGGCAGAGAGAGTAGAGAAACCTTGAGGGGTTGGGAGTTGGTCAAAGAAAGCTTCACAGAGGAGGCAGGGGCTAAGATGCATTTTGAATGGTTAATAGGAGGTAAACAGCTTGAAGAAAAGGGAACAGAAGTCTGCAGTGAAAGTCAACTTCAAGTGTGCATGGCCTGTGTAGTCAGGCAGGCCCCACTTTTAGAAGGGCCCACACTTGGTTTAAGGCTCTGCTATGGCCATCTTGAAACTCAATAATTTTTGAATAAAGAGCTCCACATTTTCATTCAGCAATGGGCCCAGCTATACAGCAGGTCTTGCCTGAGGCTTGAAACAGCAGGGTGGGTATGGGGAACCACAAGGGATTCCACCCTGCTGGTGCACCCACTGTGAGGGGGCAGACCCAGGACAGGCATGAGCAGGGCCTGGAATGTTAGGCCGGGGCTGGATGACAACAGAGCTGTGTACTTGGAGGGGCTGGACTTCATCCCCCACCGCCCCTACCAGAGCTCAGCAAACTACAGCCCCACCTCGTTTTCATACAGCCTGCAAACTAAGAATGCTTTTTTTATTTTTAAATGATTGGAAAAAAATCAAAAGAAGAACAATATTTTGTAACGAGAAAATTACATGAAATTCAAGTTTCAAATACAGAAAAGCCTTTTTTGTCTATTTGTTGTCTGAGAGCTGATAACGGGGTGTGGTATATAACAGATATCAAATAAATATTTGCGAACCTGTACTGGTCCTGCATAGTAAGGCTGCTGGGAGCTGTCTCCTTTTGAAATTTACCCATGACCCATTACAAAATTCACAAAATGCGCTGCAACTATCTGCCAGGAAGATACAGACCATAGTTACACAAGCTTAGTTTCATGGGGGACATTCATCAGGAATGAGAATGGCCATAAATTGGTGGATGGCTGCTTCCATGCTACAATGGCAAAACTGAAGAGGCTGTGCAGAGGCCATACGGATCAGGTATAAAATATTTACTATCTGTCCCTTTACAGAAAAAGTTTGCCAACTTCTACAGCAGGCTTGTGTTTCCCAATTGTGTTCCCGAAAGACAGACCCCACAGTCCAGCAGGTTTGCGAAATGCTGGGTTGAATTAAAATTGAACAGATTTCTTTACCAACACTTTAATACACTCATGTGTACAGAGACTCGCCAAGAAGATGACAGGTAGGCAGTGTTTCCCTGACCTATTTGAGCACTGAACCCTTTTCCCAAAGAAAAGCTATTAACGTTTTGCCAAAAGTGTTCCCTGGAGTCCCCTGGAACTCAGTTTGGCAAACACTTCTGTAGGCACAGCAGGGCCTCTGAAGAGTTTTCAGCAAGAGGATGGTGCAATCTGATCTTTATTTGCTTCCAGACCTCTTGTGCTTTATGATCATTTTTCATGGTCCCCTGGGATAAAGGGCTAAGGCTGCTGCTCACAGCCATGTTGTGTTGGGAGCTCAGCATCCCCAGGCTCCACTGGCTGTTCCTCGGGCTGAAGGCCTTGCATCCACCCACCTGCAGACCATTACAGTACCCCAGTGAGCAGAGGGTGGTTTAAGAGCAGCAAAACAAGATGAGGCAAGAGGGATGGAGGTGGCGTGGCAGTGGTAAGGGAAAATGCAGACTCAAGAGCGAGTCAGGAAGCACATGCAGGGCTTGGTGACGGAGAGTTTGACAGGGACGGCTGAGAAGGTGGTGACTGCTCTCAGACCTCTTGTCTGGCTTGAATGACTGGGGAGGAATTCACAGCAGTGCCACCTCCAGCCAAAAACCTTATGTGAACACAAAGCAGTTATACTGCTGGCCCTGTGGAGATGACTACACAAATCTCTTCCTCTTTCATTCTCTTAAAAAGCAGGAATTCCAAACCGGCCACCACACCCTGGCCCTGCCTGTGGGGTAGTGCCAGCCACAAATGACTTCACACCAAGTGAAGGGATGCCTTCCCTCTCTACATCCTCAGTCACCCCGCAAAGGCTACCTCTTCTAAACAACAGAGAGGCTCTGCAATGGAACCCAGGGAGCTCTCAGACAAATGACAGTGATTCCAAGGCTGGAGAGCTCAAACATCTTTCATAATTTTCTAATGGGATGACAGGTACTTTTAAAATGACAATGAGTTTTTGCTGCCACTATTTCCTGAATGCTGACCCAGACCTCAGGGATGGCCTGAATGGTGAAGAGCGGTGACTGCAAACAGGGTGGATAAAAGAACCACGATGAATACATGCTTCAGTGCTCCTTGGAGGTGTGGAGCTGTCCTCAATGCTGGGAAATGACAGCTGCAGAGGGCCCCTCCCAGAGCACACAGACAACAGTCAGGTAGCCCGGGGGGAAGGAGCTAAGCCATTGGGGAAGCACTGAGGAGGAAGATAATGAGCAAAGCACTCATCTCTATGGTCACTTTCACATCAACGTGTACCTCGGCAAGCAGCAGGGTTTTCTAGTGTGCACTCCTAAGAGTTACACGCATAAAACATACACAGTATTCAACCTCACAAGCAAGAACACAGAATTAAAAACAGGGGATGAGTCCTTGCACCAACCCTGCAATCCTGTTCATAAGAAGTGCCCTTTGCCTCCAGGTCCCAGCCCCTCTCATCTTGGCAAGCCCTTTGATCCTGCAATGACCAGCCCTTTCTGATTGACCAGAGTTGACATAGGACTCTAGTGGTGAAGCTTTTGAAAAGCTCCTCAGGTGATTCTAATGTGCAGCTACATTGAGAACTGCTGTTGATGAAAAAGCATACATCATGTTGTCTCTCCCTTTTGTAAACCCTACCTTGGCTTTTCACTACAAGTAGAACACAGCTGGGTGTTTTCTCCATGTTCTGAGGCCCTGGGCAGTTCTGTGGCCTTAGCTCCCTCCAACTTCCCTTGATCAACCCCTTTCCAGCCACCAGGCCTCCGGGTCCTCCACCACCAGCACTTGCTCCCGTGCCGTCTTTGCACTTGCTTTTCCTTCCATGTGGACAGTTGGACCATGGATTTTTACATGGCTGCCTCCTTCTCATGAGTCACCTTCCGACTCAGCTAACAGCTCCTCAAAGGTACCTTTCAGAGCCACCTGAGCTAAAGCAAATTACCCCATCATAGTCACTTTGAAATCCATTATCTTGTTTATCTTCTTCAGAGCATTCATAAGCACTCAAATTATCTTACTTGTTCTCCTGTTATTGTCTATCTCCTCTACTAGACCGTAAGTTCTCTGAGGGCAGGACTCTGTTGGTCTAGAATGGTGCCAGGCGCTTGGTAGGCTCCCAATAAATATCAGACTGACTGGCAGTGAAAGAAAGGAAACAAACTGGGACATCAAGGTAATGCAACTTGCCTAATGATATATGACATACTTGGTCATGGCATCACAGCGTGAGGCACACACCCTGCACATCATCATTGTCTTCTCTTTCTCTCTTTCTCTTTTTCTGTTTCCTTCTTTCCTTTTCTTTTCCTTCCTTCTTTTTTCTTTTGTTCTTCTTTCCTCTTTCCTTTTCTTTTCTTCCTTTCCTTTCTTTCTTCTTTCCTTTTTTCCCTTTCCTCCCTGCCTCCCTCCCTTCTTTCCTTCCTTCTCTTCCTTCTCGTTCTTCTTTCCCTCTTCATCCATATCAGAGACCAGACACACAAGTGAATGGCATGGGATGGGGCCATGGTGAACTGCAGATCATATCCCAGAGTGTGGGTACCACTCAGCTCTGATCATGCCCCACTGTGGCCACATGGAATGGGGACCCAGTGTTGCCAGATTTTCTGATTTTTCACAATAATTCATATATCTGGATTCTTCCATGAGATTCTTCTACTTTTTAAATGTTGGAAATGAATCAAAAGAAAATACTTGTCCATCAGGTGGGGTATTATGATGCTCAGGTGGGGGCTGTGATCTTTGGGATGTAACTTCCAGGCTCTCCCCACCTCTCTGTGACTATAAGCCTATCTCTCTTCATCAGATCTTGTTGATGGAGGGAGAACCAGTTCTGTAGCTCCTGGTAAAGTGGATTCCCAACTTTTTTTGACCACACACAGTTAGAAATCAATTTGTAACATGACCCTGAATACACATTGAAGACCAAGGTAAAGTCTCCTGAAGCAAAACTTACCCCTACTGTGTGTTACATATTCTGACATTTTCCATTATATTCTATTCTACTTCTTTTTTAAAAAAACACTGGTGTGATCCACTAAATTGACTGTCATCCCACTTCTGGGTCCTTTCCCACAGTTTGAGAAACCCTGAATGTGGTCTGGATGGGGAGTGATTCCAACTGTTGGTGGAACTCCTAGGGCTATAATCTTTAGCCTCTCCTTCCCAGGTTTAGGTGCCTGGCAGTAATCCTCCAGCAGTAGGAAAAGTCCCATTCAAATTTTACTCACATACTCACATGGGATCAGAAAGGTATTCTCAAAAACCTAATCTTAATATACACTATAAGAACCTTATAATTTTCATTAATTTCTAATAAAATTAACAACTTTTTGAACTCTAACTTAAAAACCATTTATTTGATATATGTGAACCATCCACTAGAGAATACTTATCCTAATTTTTTTTTTTTTTTTTTTTTTTTTTTTTTTTTTTTTTTTTTTTTTTTTTTTTTTTTTTTTTTTTGAGGCAGAGTCTTGCTCATTGCCCAGGCTAGAGTGCAGTGGCATGATCTCAGCTCACTGCAACCTCTACCTCCTGGATTAAGCAATTCTCCTGCCTCAGCCTCCCGAGTAGCTCGGATTACAGGCACACGCCACCACACCTGGCTAATTTTTGTATTTTCAGTGGAGACGGGGTTTCATCATGTTGGTCAGGCTGGTCTCAAACTCCTGACCTCCAGTGATCTGCCTGTTTCAGTCTCCCAAAGTGTTGGGATTACAGGCGTGAGCCACCACGCCCAGCTAATTACCCCAATATTCTTTTCCTACCAACTGTGATATTTAGATATTCTTTATAAGCACCTGGAAAAATATATGAACAGTATTTCTTTACCAGCTTTTCCCCAATATGAACTAAGTCTTAGTTAATGTAAAAAACACCCAGGGTTAGGAAAAATCATATAAAAATAGCTTTTGTGTGCAAATTCAAGAAGCATGCCTGTCCCCAGAGATGATAGGATGTTACACGGCCTTACAGTCAGAGGGAGGAAGGGATCTGTCCGGCAGAAGGGCCCCCTGGGAGGCAGCCCTGAATAAGCGAGCCCTGGCACTGCTTATTCTTCTAATCTTCGCAGCATCCACTGGGGGCTTAGGAAAGGAAAAGCAGGAATCCTCCTCTGTGGTGGGAGATGCTGGAACTTTCGGTTTCTGGAAAGAGATTTTTTAAATAATTGGAATGACCATCTGTGTCTCAAAGAACACTTACCTCAGAGCCAGCCCCAACCCTTCCAGAAGAGCACAAGGGCTATCTGCCTGGCCTCATCTTGGCTTCCTGATTCTACCATCCCACTGGCCCATCTTGCATAATGTGACATATGCACATATAAAGCACTTTTTAATTGGCTTTTTTCAATCATACTGTATTAACTACTCTGCTGTACTGTACTTGAGTAAAACAGCTTACCCATGCTAGCAAACAGATATTATCTATTTAATAATAAAATTACAAATAGCATATTCAACATGCTTTACAACATTCTGAGTTCAGTTCAGAAAACACTTACTGGGTACCTATATGTACCAATAATTACGTGGAATGTAAGTGCTACATTTACATATTTTGGATGCCACAAATGTATTTTTTAATGATATCAAAAAATTTAAAGAGTTTAGGTGAAAAAGCCATAAAACAGAAAAACAAGAAGTTGTCTTGGACTTATAAAAGTGTTTTATATTTTAAATCTCAGGAATTTTATGCTGATACTCCCTATTTCTTCCCCTTCTTAAGTGTTGATGCTGATACTCTCAGTAAAGGAACATTACTAACAAAATTCTAGTTCCTTAAAGATTTTTAAAAAAACACCTGCACCGGAGACGATCCAAGATGGCCGTTTAGTAACAGCTCAGGATTGCAGCTCCCAGTGAAAGCACAGAGGGTGAGTGGACGCCGCGTTTTTATTGCCCACAGACTAGGAAATTCCCGGGCGGAGGTGCTCCACGGTCGCCAGCGCGGCTGTGCCGGCCAGCGCCGCTGCTTTGCCCCGCGCGGCTGCTTTGTCGGCGCCCCGAAGCCGCGGTTCTCCGTACAAAATACACCAGTCCGGGGGCCCTTTGGGCTGGCGATTGGAGCCACAGGAAGTCGCCCATACGC